CTCCTGGAAGGGCTCCCCACTTCCCTTCCTCTCCTCCCCTCCCTCACAGATTTTAATTAAGGGTTTCCTTGCGAAAGACCCAGCTCTATGTAGCGAAATCCTTGGGCCCCTTTTATATTGTCTTATGTATCGCTTTGTGCTAGGGCGCCAGTAAAAAGTTAATTATAACTTCTCAACGCGCCAAGAGCGGGCCCTCGCCTCCCTCCCCTGCCTGGCTCTGCAGCGGGCCGTGCCGCTTAATGCACTGGCCCGGCCTGTGCCCCGCAGACCTCTCCAGGCCGATTCGACCGCCACCTGCCCAGCCCCCTCGGCGCCAGGCTGGGCCGGGCTCTGAGGACCTGCAGGAGGAAGGGAGCCGGGCAGGCCGGCCCGCTTGGGTGCCCGCGGGAGCTCGGCAGGTGATATGAGTGACTGTGGAGAGGAGCGCAGGTGGGGCCGACAACGGTGGGGTCGGAGTAAGAAGGGATGGCCGTGGACATCCGCCTTGGAGGGAAGGGAGAAGGGGCGCAGGAGCGGAGGTGGGGAGGGTCTCAAACACCGCACTGGAGGGCTGCACCTTACGGTAGCCTGTGGGGATGGGTCTGAGGTGTGGGAGTTCAGTTGGGGATGGAACGAGTCTGAAATCCTGGCAGACAGCCAGGAGGAGGTGTCTCCTGAGAAGACGGAACAATACCCTGGCAGAATCTCAAAGAAAGGTCCAGGCTGGGGAGAGAGACGGGGTGTTCTGTAGGTCTGGGTGGGAGAGACAGCTGGACCAAAGGAGATGGAGAATGGGATGCCCAGAGAGGGAGGTGTGGAAACGGGGGAGAGAACCCCAGTTTGGAAGGGTCACGCAGAGAGGCCAGGAGAGAACAAACCTGCCTGTGGCCTCCGGGCGTCACTCCCAAGGCCAGGGCAGGGGTGAAGCTGAGGGAGCTGGGGCCACGGGAGTGGGGGTGCAGAGGCTCGGGCTCCTCCTGGCTGGAGGGGCCGGGGGCGGGGGGCGGTGCGGTAAGGCCAGCCCCGCACAGACAGTGAGAGCAAGAGGGAGCTTTCTGGCATCTTGCAAGTCCAGGCTCATGAATGGACAGGTTCAGAATTCAGCTGTGTGTCCTCATGGGGAAGAACTGCCCCCACCCCACCCCCACTCCACCCCTGGCCACACACACACACACACACACACACACACAGGAGGGCTGGGCCGGTGGGCCTGGGGAAGGGCCAGTGGTGTCCTTCTGAGGGGCCGGGTGAGCCCAGCACCGACCTGAGGCCCGTGCTGCCGCCACCCCCACGCTGGGACAGTTGCACGGGACACCAGAGAGGCCAACGTTTCATTTAAAAGGAAAAGATTTCAGTGTTGCTTTTATTCGATGCTACCAAGTAACACATGGTTTTTGCAAACAATCAAGGGGGACAAAGGCAGAGAGAACCGTGAAATGGAAAATAAAACCCTCCCAGCGCCCCCACGGGGACCAGAGCTCCGGAACATCGTTGAGCCTTTGCCCTCCCTGGCCTCGCTGCCCCTCTCCCCTCTGCAGCCCAGGCCTCTGACGGCGTCTTGACAGGTCCCTCCCCTGCATGGAGCTCCCACACGCCCATCACCCCCGGAATCAGCCCCACACTCCCGTCCCGGGCTCGCAGGGCCCGTGCAAACTCCAGTCACCCTCCTCCCCCCACACTCGCCGTGCCCTCTGCCCCCACCGCAGGGCCTTTGCAGCCAGCGTGCCCTCGGCCTGGAGCGTTGCTCTGGCCTCTGCCTCGTTCTCCTCCTCCATCCCTCATCCAGGGGCACCTCCTCCGGGAGGCCTTCCCTGATTGCACTCAGGCACCATCGGGTGCCCGGGGCTGGCGCTCCACAGACAGTGCCCTTATGGCCTCTTGTGTGTCCCTCGAGCCACTGTCCGCCCATCACCGGAATGTGAGCGGGGCCCCTCCCTGTCCCCACTGTCACCCCAGTGCCAGGGACATGCCTGGGACACACCTGGCCCATAGGGAGCTCTCAGTGAGGTACACTGGTAGACCCATGAGTATTCCCTTCCAGTCTCTTCCGTGTGCGTGTGCATGTGTGTGTGTGTGTGTGTGTGCCGATGGCACAGCTAAGGGCACACGTCCCCATTCCCCGGGAAATCCACACGCGTTTGCACACCACCTCTACCACTGTTCTCCCGGCCTGCACAAACGACCCCTGGGCTCGGGTCAAAGGTGCCGGCTTCTGTGGGACCGACTCCCGGCCCCTGCCCTCCCCAGAGGGAGCGGCGGTCCGGCACGCGCCAGCCCTAGGGGCGGCAACGCCACCTGCCCGGCCCTACAGCCTGCGCACCTTCATCCTTCCCCCAGCCCGGCGAAGCCTCAGAACTGCTTTTATGGGGGGGGCAGGGCACAGGGAGCCCCCCACCCCCACTTGAAACGAGACCGCTGAAGCTCACAGAGGACACGTGGCTGCCACGGAGCCCCGGGGCAGGGGGCAGACCCCGGATGTCCGCACCCAGATGGCGCTGCCCCCGCCTCAAGGGGGCGCCAGAGAGGACTCACCCTGAGAGGAACCAGGGAGGCGAGCGGAGGGGGAGGCGCCAGGGGCTAGGCCCCAGCGCCCGACTGCCCGGGGGGAATCCCAGCCGGGACCCTGTGTGGGCCTGGGCAGGTCGCCCCCTTCGCTGGGCCTCGGTTTTCTTCTCTGTAAAATGGGGGTGCGGGCGGCCCTGCCTCCTCCCGTTGTCGGTGGGGGGGGGTGATTTGATGATACTAATACGCAAAAAGGGCGGCACCGGAGGGCGTGAAGAATCGGGGGACTGGTCCGCTCAGCAGACACCAGCTCTCCGTGAACACGCACCTGTGCAGGTGTGCCTGGCGGTGCCCAGTGAGTGCACGGCCCTCCTCTCGGCCACGAGGACCACATCCCTGGGGACTGGACAGCCAGCCCACCGAGGGGCGTCTCACTTTGTGCCTCGGCCAAGTCCCCCTAAAGCTGGCCGCAGGGGGGCTTGGATGAGCCAGCACCCACGGGGGCTCCACGGACACGCAGGCCGCCCGCCCATCCGCCCAGGTCACAGCGGCTTCTGCTCCAGGTGTGGGGCATCCCACCCCTACCCCCGAGTGACCACACGACTCTGCAAACACCTGAATGCCGCAAAGGGGAGAGGCCCCAGGGGAAACCTTCTGTAGAAAAAAACCCCTTTGTAAGCTCACCCTTCCCACCCCCGATAGCCCAGGAGAATAAATCCATCCAACTCCAAGTGCAGATTAGGGAGAAGGCCCCCACACTCCTGTGGGCGCTGTTCTGGCTTCTGGGACGAGGCAGGTGGAGGGATCGTCCTAAAGGGCCCACCCCACCGTGCCAGCCCCCCAGGACCCTGGCCAGCCCCCCCTCCAAGCCCGACCCCCTGGCTCCAGCTGCAATGGCACCGCCCGCCCCTCTCAGCCCCCCACTGGCGCACTTTGGCCCCCGCCGTCCCCTCAGCCTGGCGGCACCCTTTCTGCACAAACCCCCAGCCCCTCCGTCGAGGCCCGGCCCCGAGTCAGCTTCTCGCCATGGCCCATGCCTGCCAGGGGCAGCTGAGAAGATGCCTCAGCACTCGGAGCCACCCCCGCCACGCGGGCAAGTGCGTGTCCCTTCCTTCACCACGCCAAGGGGAGCGCATGGGCCGGCACATCCAAAACAGTCCCCTCCCTAAGAACCTCAGTGCGAGGGGGCAAGGGGGGAGGCGACACCCTCTTCTGTCCAATAGGACCCTCCCCAAACAGTGGTTCCCAAAATCCAGCCGGGTGGTGGCGCTAAGGAGCCTGGCATGCCACGACTCCAGTCCCCTGCCCTGGACTGGGGCCCTGGGCTCCATCAAGTGAGGCCTCCCGTCCGTCCTTGAGGATAAGAAGCCAGGCTCAGAGAGGGCCCCTCCCCTCCCAGGAGGCGGCCCAGACCCCGAAGCAGCTCCGGGCAAGGCAAGAAGCCTGGGGCAGGCCCACTCTGGGGAGCCCTGCCCCACCCCGGCCTCCACAGGGTCAGCCCAAAGGGGGCTCGGAATTTCCCATTTGGAAAGTCAATGTGGAAAGCGCTGAGCCTACCAAGCGGAGGACAAGGCCTCGCTTGTGCATATCTGTCTCAGCCGGCAACACCGGCCTCTCGCTCACCGCAGCTGCCGCCTGGCTCCCGGCGGCTCTGCTCACGCGGCTCCCAGCCGGCGGGACGCCCTCGGGGCAGGCCGACTGTCAGGCAGGGCAGCGGGGCGGCCCGGGGAGGTGGCCGGCCCTGCACCCGCGCCTCTTGGGTGGCAGCCAGCCTGCAGGGCCACCCAGGGCCAGGCCATCTGCGTCTCGCTCCCCGAGGGACTCGTGGTGCGGTTTCTCTGGATTCCAAACAAGCGGCTTTTCCCAGGGGGCACCTGGGGCCCCTGCCGTTCTTATTTAGGAAGAAAATAAAAAGCACAGACAGAGCCCCGGGGGCTGCACTTGCAGATCACGGCCCACAGCTCGATGCCCGTGCCCACACCGGCCCCCAGGCCCCCGCTTCGGCCTCAGAGGCTCCGGGGGTCCCCGTAATGGGGAAGCCATCGTAGGGCGGTAGGCGGCCGAGCCAGTGTGAGCCCACTGAGCGCCCGCCCCGGCATCACCGCGCCCAGGCAGCCACGCACCCACCCGCCCGTTCAGCCACGTGCTCCCTCTCACCCATCCCCTGTTTGTGTAGCACCTACCTGCACCAGGCACGACAGGGGGCTGAATGCGCCAGTGGGCCAGGACACAGCTGGGCAAAAATCCCTCCGGGAGGGGGTCTCCCGGGCCCCAGATCCCCACACACAAATGGAAAGTCTCAGCCCAGACCAGGGCCGGGGTGGGGGATGGCCAGGGTGAGACGGACCGGAAGAGTGTAAGAGCTGGGACCTGGTCTGGGAGGTCAGGGAAGGTTCCCTGGGTGGGTGGGGGACAGGCAGACCGCGGCCGGGCGGCGGCGGGCAGAGTGGGGAGGGAGGACGGCTGGGCCCCGAGGGCGGCCCCAGGCCTGGACCTCGGCTCGGCCGCCCGGCACCTACCGAGCCACTCGTTGAACTTCTTCACCTCGCTCGGGAGCCCCAGCTCCGTGAAGTCCCCGGCGTGGATGAGCACGTCGCCATAGGGCATCTGGATGGGGTCCGTCCTCGAGTGCGTGTCAGACACGCAGACGAAGCGCGTGTAGCCGGGCGGCTTGGGGGCGTCGTGGGGCACGGGGTCCACCCTGCGGGGACAGAACGCACTGTGGTCACGGCCGCGGTCACAGGGCCGCGGGGCTGCCCGCAGACCCGTCTTTACGATAAGGAGGGCGAGACGTCTCCAACTCCCCAAAACCAGTGTTCGCCCCCTTGGGTGCACTCCGGACGCCAGCGAGAATGCAGGGACCCACGTCGGTGGTGCAGGTGACGGAAAGGAGTCCCCAGGGCTGGGCAGGGCATGAGCAGCGGCGGAGGACAGCCCCAGGGGACGGGGGCGGGGGACTCCGAGGGAGCGCAAGACACAAAACCACTGGAGGGAGGCAGCAGTTTTTCAAACCGTGAGGTGGTCTGGCCCTCCTGAGAACGCAGGCTCCCCAGGGGGTGTGAGAGAACCGCCCCGGAGCCGGAAGACCAGGTTTCCAAGCCCCAGCTCTGCCACGTGTTGCTGAGTGTGGCCGGAAGCAGAACCTTGCCCTTGCCTTTTGCTGGACCGAGCCGGCGGCTGGCGGGCATCCCAGGGAAGGAACGCCCAGCGCCCCGCCCCCCACGCCACCGCCCCCCACGCCGCCGCCCCTCTGCCGACCAAGCCTGCCAGGCTCCAAACGCTTAACGGCAGCGCGACGACGGCGTGGCGACGAGCCGCGCTCTCCAAATGAGTGTGCCGCTCGAGGAGTCAGTTGTGTTTAAATCTAATTATGCGGCAAACCAAAAGCAGGACCGTATCAGTTACATAAATACTTTTAAAGACATCTTTCTAATTATCCTTTTTTTTTCAGACAATATACTTCAAAGAAATTTAATTAACACCTTACGAGGGAAGCGGGTTCGGCATGCTAATGTGCGGGGCGCGTCTGCCCGCGCGCGCGCGCGCGCGGTCCACCGCCGCCATCGGAGGCGCGGAGCCGGCCTCCCCTCCCCCATCACTGGGTCCAACTGGGTCCAACCGGGGCGGACAGGAAAGTTCCCCAAGGGAGTCCAGGGATGGCCATAGGAGGGCGCTGGGGGCTCCTCCTCTTCCTTCTTTCATTCATTCATTCATTCATTCAACTCATTCACTTGTTCATTCAACACAGCACCTTCTGGCCACACCCGTGTGCCAACCCCTCGCTCAACACTGGGGCCGCAGGGATGACCCAGGCGTGATCCCAGGCCAGGGACCCCTGACGCGGCCACAGTCAGCAACGACCAAGCCACTAACCTTGACGGGGCAGCAGCGGGGGGGCGGGGAGCCAGAGAAGGAGGCGGTGCCTGAGCTGATCCGGAAACCCAACTCTCCTTCTCAGTAACTCCCCCACCGCTCCCCTGTCCTCAGGGCCCCTCCCTCCCCTCCCCCACCGCCACGCGGCAGAGGGTCTTGCAGGGGGCTGGTCTCTGAATCCACCTGTACAGCCTGCCTGCCCCTGACACAGCTATTGAACCAAGGGCAGCCAATCGCTACTGGGCTATGGGCCCGGCACAGGGACACGAGTGAGCCAATCCAATTCACTTATTCACTCATTCATTCACACACACACACACACACACACACACACACGCTGAGGTTGTGGGCATGCCAAGTGGGAGAGACAAAGAGACACAAAGAAGGGGGAGGGAGAGAGGGGCCACCTGCAGAGCCGCCTCCACCCCCCCGAATCTCCCCTCCCGGGCGTCCCTCAGCCAGGAGCCCCCCTACCCCCACCGGCACCGCCAGCCTGGGGCAGCGCGAGGCCCTCCTCCCCCGGCAGCGCCCAGGCTCTTTAATTAACTCCGTTCCCATTTCCCTCCACCCCGAGGCTTCTGAGCTTACGGAAGACGCAAACCTACTCATCCCCAGAGAGAAAATAAAGACTCTCATTTCCCGGCACTGGCCTCCGGCTCTCTGGATGGCAGCAAACGCTCAGCCTCAGCCGCCACGGCAGGAATGGGGGGGACGGTTCCCGAGAACTGGGGGTCCATTATCCCTCCGCACTCCCCATGCATCCATGCCCTTCGCCTGCCCAGCGACCTCGGGGCAGGGAGCCAAGAGTGTGCCCATTTCACGGAGCGAGAAACTGAGGCTCGGAAACCGCCGCCTTGGCTGGGACCTCAGCGGTGCGAGCCAGCGGAGCGGAAAACGTGAAGCCGGTTTCTGGTTCCGGAACCCGCGCCGCCGGGCCAGACCAGGGCTGGCCCAGGCCCCGGCCGTTCAGTCAGCAACCTGCAGACGGAAGCTCACCGAGCGCCTCTTCCATGGCAGGCGCCTGCTAGACGCAAGGGGTGCACACACGGCCGCCTCCCGGAGCTCCCGAGGCCGGGCCTGTGCTGGGACTCGAGGAGAAGGGCCAGGAGAGGGGGGTGTGGAGGGAGGGGGAGAGTGTGCACTTGTGCACCTGCGGCGGGGACCGGCTGGGCGGCACCGCTGGATGCCCGGACCCAGCAGCGTCTGAACCCGGAGCCCAAACCGGACTTCCTGGCCGACTGATTACAGGAGCCAGTCAACTCTCTCGTTTCCTTAAGGCCATTTCAGTTGGGTTTCTCACATGTCTGATGGCAAAACCCTCCGCGTCACAGCAGCCCCAGGGCACGGAGGCCCCGGCTGGGCAGGCACAGAGCAGACTCGAGCCTGGGCCTTCACGACGGGATGCGGGCGTCGGGCCTCTGCACCGTCCTGCGACGCCAAGCGGGTATTCCCCAGTGGTGCTCTGCAGGGACCCACGAAGGCTACCCCCCCCAAGACCTGGGCCCCATGGCCTGTCCCCAGCCTAACAAGGGGCCTTCCCCAGGGACCCGGGTGCAGCAGTGATGAGACCCAGGGTGCACCGCAGCTCAGCGCCTGGGCCCTCCCAGCCACCAGCCTGGCCCTGCCTGGTGGGGATGACCCACGCACACCTAGAGCCGTGGTGAGATCTCAGAGGACCTTCAAAGTTCCCACCCCTTCAGGGATGCGGCCCCCTCCGCCCCCCCACCCCCCCCCACCCCCCACAGCCCGGTTCCTGGGCCCCCGTCCCCATCTTGGCTGCTGTCTCCCATGAGCCTTAGCTTCCTGCAGACGCAGCTCGTGGTGGCAACACCTTCCACGGGCATCAGAAGCAGAGGCCTGCCTCCCCCGTCTCCCTGTTTCTGTGGAAAAGGGGGGCTCTGAAGGTGGGGGGCAGAGTGCAGAGGGCTCCTCCCTTCGAGCTAGATTCCAGCCACACGTCCAGCCATGTGCTGAGGCACCAGCCATGGTGTTTTAGAATGGGGGAGTCCCCCAGTGTCCTCCTCTCACTCTACAAGTGGGGAAACTGAGGCCCAGAGGAGGGGCAGTAGTCACACAACTGCCCGGTGCTTTTCCACGAAGCCCTGGTTCCCAGGTGGCCCCACCACGCTGCCCTCCTGCATCCCTGCGCTGGCTCTTCCCTCCCACCCCCCGGCCTTCACTTGGGCTGGTTCTCCAAGTCCAGGGGTTGTGCCACCTCCCCCAGGAGGCCCTCCTTGATCTGCTGCTCTTCCTGGGCCACGCTCCCTGCCTCCTCCTGCTTTCCTTTGCTTTCTGCTTCCTGTCTGCTGCACGGCTGGAGGGATCAGCCTGAGCTGGTGAGGGAGGGGGCACTTAGAAAACGGTCCCACCGGTGGATGTATAAAGCACAGGCTAAAGCACACGCCGTGGAGGGGAAACCCGTGGGTGCCTGGAGCCGGGGCGGGGGGCGGAGGGAGGGCGAGACACCTGGTCAGGATCGGGAAGGCCTCCCCCCCGGGGGAAGTGGCACCCGAGCGAGGTCCGGAGAGCGAGTCGGGGTCAGCAGGGCAAAGAGTCAGGGAGACTGCCGCTCGTGCTCGTGCGTGTGGAGGCCCGGGCGAGGGGAGCGGGCTGTGCAAGGAAGCCAGAGGCAGCCGCTGCTCCCGGGGCCCTTCGGGGGTGGGGGTAGGGGCCGGAGGGGGGCAGAGAACCAGACCGAGCCTGGGCTCAGTCCTCCTGCCTGGTCCCCTCCCCACTGTCCCCACCCCGGCTCCAGGCTGACACTCTCTGTCTCCTAGAGACATCTCAGGCCTCAGTCTGGTGGAGAAAGGGGATCGGCTCAGCTGGGAGGGCTGGGAACTCTAAGGGGCCTCCTCAGGCCCGGCACCCCGCTGTGCCCCTCCCCCGTGCCTGCTGCATCCTTCTAGAGCCCCCGAAGCCCGATGCTCTCAGAGAGTCTTTGAACCGGGGGGCTCCGGTGGCCCCCAACAGGACTCTTCGTAAAAGCCGGAGAGAAGGAGCGTGTGCCTGGCACCAGCTGCCCCCGCCCCGGGCACCTGTACGGCGGACCCTCAGGGTGACCCTGTCCCACAAGCAGCACCCGCCTTCTCACCACCGCCAGGCCACCCGCCCACCCAGGACGGAAGGCTGTGGCTGCAGGGGCCCCGCCGGGCCATGGCAAAGGTTCGTGGCCCCAGGGGCAGGGCCGTCAATCTCGGGGCCTGAAACCCAGAGGCCCAGGGCCGGAGATTCATGACTCAGGCAAAGGCAGCCTCGTTACCCCGCCAGGGTCTCCGGGGGCCACGGCGTGGGTCACGTGGCTCAGTCGGAGGCCACGTTTGGACTGCCACTGCTGTTATTAAATATAAATTGTGGATTTATTAAATAAGGCCCCCTCACTCCCTCAGCCCGGAGACAAAGCCCAGGGCGGTGATAAATCACGTGTCGGGGAGTGGCATCCATCTCCCGCATCTGCCTCTGTGGAGACGCGCCATGGAAACCCGCACAGCTACCGCCGCCGGCAGCCCGCTGCACGCTTCCCCGGCGCTCGGGGCCTGGGGGCTGAGCGAGGGGCCGGGCAGCAGCAGCCCTGCCCCCAAGCCCTCGCCCGGCCCTGGCTGCACCCAGCTGTGTGCAAAGTTGTGTTTCAGAGCCCTGAACGAGGAGTCGGGGACTGGGCTGGGCCCCTGCTCCTCCCAGGCTCTCTGCTCTGCCCCCGAGACCGCCCTGCGGGTGGAGCCCGGCCCCACCCCGCCCTGGGCTGCAGGAGCTGGCGGGGCGTGGAGACGGGCAGGCCCCTGTGACTCTGCTCCAGCCACTCAGCTGGGTGACCACAAGAGAGCCAGTAAGCGTTTCTCCAGAGCACGTCTCACAACCGTGTCCGGTGCCTTTACCCGCTTTCGGACAGGCCTGCAGTCTGGCTCCCCCATGGGGGTGGGGGCGGCTGGGGGGCGGGGTCAGGGCGGGGCAAGCTCAGCATGGGCGGGGCTGGTGCGAGAGGTCCGGGCCGGGATTCACACCCAGGCAGACCAGCCCAGAGCGTGCGTTTCTGACCAGCCTGCCGGGCAGCCACCCACAAACATCCCGAACGGACGAACAAATGAACGGACGGACGGACGAACCAACAAACCACCGGCAGCTACTTCTGAGTTAAAGGGCGAAATCACCCTCTTCCACTGCCACTCATTGTCCTCGCTCAGGGCACAGCCTGGCCTGCGGGGGGCGCCCTCCACCCAGCTGTGCCTTTCTGCAGCTCTCAGATGCCCTCCTGCCCCGGCCTTCTCCAGCTTGCTGCGCGCCCCCTCACTCTCCTCTGGGTCTCAGCCCAGAAGCCACCTTCTCCGAAGGGTCCTCCCTCACCCCTCGGCCTGCTCCCCAAGGACTGGCTGTCTCCCTTGCCCGGCGCTGGAGCTGGGGCTGGGCTGCTGTGTGTCCGCGGAGACGGGCAGAGGCGCTGACGGTGACAGCCATGCCTGGTGCTGCTCGGCCCGGCAGTGTCGTGCACGGTGCCTGGGGACACGCTGTGTGGGCACGCACACGGCCATGCACACGCGCACGTACACCACCACTCCCGCTGTGGCAGGGGCCCAGCCCAGTGCCCAGGGACCGGGGACACAGTCACTTCCAGCCCCGGAGGCCGGAGCCCACCAAAGGGAGCCTGAAAGGCCTCCCTCCCTGCCAGGCCTCAGGGTCCCAGACAGCAGCACGCCTGAGACCCAGGGCCGCCCGTCTGTCCTGCCCAGATCTGCCCCTCCGGCCCTCCCGGGGACATCGGGGGCAGTTTCCAGAGCAGGAAGCTACCAGCAAAACACAGGCGCTCCTGGCACTGGTCCCCGCCCCGGGCCTGGAGTCCGCCTGCCGTCCCGAGACCCTTCTCCTGCAAACAACACCCCTGGGCCTGCCCCCGACGACAGAGGACGGTCCCGAGGGAACCAACCGCACAGTGACGAGAGGCAGCACCCCACCCGCCCCAGCTCCGGGCTGGAGGGGCCCCACGGCAGTTTCTCTGAGGGGCCCTCGGGCTGGACTCTCTGGTCTCCCCAAAAAGACAGCCTCTGGGACCCCCACTCGCGAGACGGTGCTTGCGGGCCTAGGGCAAGGTGGGGCCTCACAGGGGTGATAACCCAGCCCAGCTGTCGGGAGGGCCGGCTTGGGACACCACATCCCTACCATGGCTCTGACCTCCCTGCGCTGGCACCCACAGACACCCACAGACGCCAAAAGGATCCGCGTCCGGAGAGAGCCCTGGTCCGAGGCTGGGGGCCAGCTCTGGGGCCAACCAGCTGTGTGCACCTGCGTGGGTTGCCTCACCTGTCCTGCCCCGTTTCCTCGCCAGGCGAGCCCTACAGTGCAGGGATGAAGGGGGAGGGGTCTTCCAGGAACACAGGGAGCCGCCGGGGCAGGGCCGGGAACCCACCACCCGTCTCCACCCTGGGCCACCCGCAGCTCTCCAGACCGCAGGGAAAATCCAGAAAGGGAAAAGGGTCCCCCTGGGTACACGGGGTCCCCAGCCCGTGCTCTCGCCACAGCCTCACTGCTGGGGCGCCCCCAGTACTTCCCATCAGCCCCAGGGGCAGGGGCAGGGCCCCCCAGTGCTTTTGGCAAGTGTCTCTGCCTTCTCAAAGGAAGTGTGTTGGGGGGTGGGGGGACCTGGACAAAAGGGAGGGGTGGAGGGCGGGGAAGAGAGCCAGCCCCAGACCAGGTCCAAACCCGCCCTGGGCCTGTGGCAAGTCCTTCCCTCCCTGGGCCTCGGTCTCCCCGTCTGCACAGTGAGGACCGTGGGGCAGACCAGGGGTCTCCAACCCAGACACCAAGAAGGGGCAGCTGCGACTCAGCACCCTCCTCCCCACCCCAGGCTGCCCTGAGGACGTGCGGGCCTGGGGTTGCCAGGCCTTTCGGGTTTGTAAAGCCAAGCCAAAAGTCTGGATTTTTATACGCAGTCACCTCATTTTTTTACTATTTGTAAAACATTCTCCCCGCCAAGTGAAACAGGACTCCGGGCCAGAACCGGCCACAGGCCGAGGCTCTCCGACTCCTCGCCCGTCCCTCCCCACTCGGAGCCGCGGTGGCCCTGGCACCCCAGCGTCCTCTCCGTCACGGAGCCCTGGTCCGTGAGCCCGGCCCGGCCTCCACCGCACCGCTCGCCCCCGCCGGCCCCTCCGCCAGCGCCAGCGCGCCGCCCACTTACATCTGCACGTGCGGCGGCTGGAAGCGGCCCTGGTTGATGTTGTAGAAGGTGAAGGCCTGGGTGGGGTTGGAGCTGTACTCGTCCACCTCGACGAGGAGCCGGCCGTGCTGGTGCCGCCGCGCCGCCATCACGTGGGACTGCGAGAACGCCATGCCCAGGCCGCAGGGCAGCAGGGCCAGGGCCTCCGCCTTCAGGACGCCGGGGTCCCACCTAGCGCGCCACATGGACCTCCGCGGGCCGCCCGGGCATCTCCTGCCGCCGCCGCCGCTGCAGCCGCCACCGCCGCCGCCGCCACCGCCGCCCGGCCCCGCGCCAGACCTGGGAACAGACTGAGGAGACGGAGCAGAACCGTGCGACAGTTAATCTGTTTGGGATTTGCTTTATTTAATGTCAGATGAAGATTTAGAAAGAGGGAGAGGGCGGGGGGGAGAGGGAAAAAACACAGTCGTACAGCTCAAAAACTCATTACAAATCTTTCCAACTCAGCAGTTTGATGAATATACTTTGGTAAAAAGAAAAGGGGAAGGAGGGAGAGCACAAAAAAAAAAAAAAACAAAACCCACAACGCCCTGGACGGATGCATGCGTGGTCCGACATGTTTAAATACTTAAGACATTTTTTTTTTTTTTTTTGGCCTTTGACAAAACCCTCCCCAGCGCACCCGGCGACCGAGAGACGGGGCAGGAGAGCGGCGGGAGTCCTGCAGACGGGCGAGGGGAGTTTCGCTCTACGGAACCAGGGAACAGGAAGCGTTCCCCTCCCACCGCACCCCTGCCCCACCCCCCCCTCCCCGTCCCGCAGACACACCCACTCCCACAGGGCCCCTCGCCCACACCCCTGCAAACCCCAGCAGGTGGGACGGCACAGGCACGCATTCCTTCCTCCACATCAGCGCTGCCTACAGATCTCTGCCCCGTGCGCGGGGCCTGCAGCGGGGATTTTCCCAGAGGGCCGTCCACCCCCCCGGCTCAGGGGGTGGCCCGCTTTGGGGGGGGGGGAGGGGGCAGGAATGTACCTTTAAAGGAAAAAAAAAAAAAACCTTCCCCAGTGCCTTTTTTAGGATCTCGGGAATTCTGTCATCACTTACAATCACAGTTCGCCGTAACGCTATCTTTTTTTTTTTTTTTTAACATTTCCTTCATTAGAAAGTGGGTTTGCATTTGTAGGCGCCTTGGACCGGGACACCCGTGAGACTGGTCCCCAGTCAGCTACGTACAGTCCCTGGGGACACGGCTGTCTTGCCCGGCACGCTCCACAGGCGACGGCCCGCGGCCCCCACTGAGGCCGTCTGTGTGTCACTCTGTTCCAGGATTATTTTTTTAAACTGCTTAAACGAGCAATGCCTCCAACAGCGTTTTGCTTTGTTTTGTCTCCGTGTTTGGTCATTAAGATCCCCGATGGCTCTGTCTGAGCCTCATGTCGCCCCGGAGAAAACAGCGACGTTTGAACTGTGCCGGGCGGCCCCACCCCGGCCACGCCAAACGGAGAGAACGCCCCCCGTCCCTCCTCGCACGTGGAGGAGAAATCGACACCGCCGGGAAACAAATCAGATGAGGGAAGGGACAAAAATTAGAGACTGGAGGACATTTTAATTATGCGCAAAGGAGAAATGGATTATTAATTTTTTAAAGATCTCGACAACCATGCCCATATGAGGTGCCACGAATCTCGAGATATCCGTCTCGACACCACCCTCCCACCCCTCCCCCAATAAAAATCGCATCCTGGTTTGCAACACAACTCCGTTCTCTCCGCTTGGGAGGACAAGGGAAAAAACCCGCGTTTGCCCACGGGGCGCACAGGCATGGCGGGGCCAGTGTCTCTGGAGGGGGAGCCGGGTGTCCTGGCCCCAAACACCCAAAGCCTCTGGGGGAGCGGCCCGGCCATCCTGTCCCAGGACCCAGACAGGAGCCTGGGGCAGCAGACTCCGAGGTCCAGGGCTGCCTCGGTCCAGATCTGCACGGGCGTTTGAGTCCCAGCGTTGTGCTGACTTGCTGTGTGGCCTTAGGCCAACTTCCTACCCTCTCTGAGCCTCAGCTGGCGGGTCCCCAGCGCCCAGCGACTATTCACAGTCACTGTCACAATCACTATCCCACTCCATAATGGGGTAACACACGTATCGGAGGCCTGCTGCAAGCAGGGCCGTCCAGGGACAGGCACCTGGGATGCAGGGGTGTCCGGTGTGAGCAGAGGAGGCAGCTCCAGGAGCCTTGAAAAAGAGCCTGAATTTTCTCAAACGCCAGCTCACCACACGCCCCTGCTGGAAATCCTTGCCATGGCCCCTCGGACGAGCCCACGCCTCACGGGCCCCGAGAAGGTAGCGTGACCAGCCAGAGGCTCCGTTTCCTCGTCCCCAGCGCGGACAGAAGACGAGTCCCTCCCTCGTGCGGCCGTGAAGATGAAATGAGGCGGCCCGGCACACAGTAGGCGCCCAATAAATGTTAGCTATTGCCATGACTGTATCCTCCTCATCCCCCCAGGGCCTCTCACAGACACTCCAGAAAGACTGAATTAGTGGCTGGAAGGACGGAAGGAGGGGTGGACGGAGGGACCGACGGACAGAGGGTCTCGCCCGTGAAGACCTGGGAGTGTGGGTGGGTGTCGAGAGGGCTCAGCTAGAGGTGGAGGAGCCATGGCCCCCTCCACCGTTCCCCCCTCACATGCCTGCAAGGAGGCCGAGGGGGCCGGGCACAGCCCTTATGAATGCGGGGCTCCAGGGGCCCCCACCGCCCCTGCCCGGAAGGAGGCGCCGGCACGGCTGCACCGGTGCCCGAGGACCGGGAGGCTGGCTCCGCACCCGGGGACTCAGCCGGAGGAGGCGGGCGGCCAGGCATCCGGAGGCGTTCCGCAGTGAAATGCCGCATTTCGCATAAAGGGGGTCCGCAACGGGCCCTGCTTGGAGAAACCAGGGGGACTGGGAATGCAGAGCCTTCTTTTAATGCCCACTTAATATTTATGGAGCTGCAGCAGCAGCGGCGGCGGCGGCAGCCACGATGCAGAGAACGCAGCCCCATCCACCGAGGGGGAGCGGCGGTTCCCAACAAACAGCCTCTAGCCGGGGAAGCGCTCACGCCCGGTCCACAAAACAACACAGCGTGCAGGAGAGCGCAGCAGCGACGGGAGGGGCGCTGGGGCCTGCTGGGGAGGGCCCCCCGGCTCCCATCCCTGCTCACGCCTCCCAGCCAGGGGACCTCCAGGGCCTGCTCTGCCCCGGGGGCGGCAGGAAGGAAACAGAACCGCCAGTGAGCAGGGTGGAACGCACTGAGGAAGGCATCCTTTGCTCACCACGGCCCCACCCCACCCTACAGCACTGCACCCCACCCCACCCCACGGCGCTATCCAGGGAGAGCAGCTAAAAGCAAACCAGTCACTGCCCTCAGGGAACTGGGGGTGGCGGCAATAAAGTAAACACAGGAGTAAATTCAAAAGACACTGTCAGGTGAGAAGGTGTACCTGCAAGAGGTAGAACAGGAGATGCAGACAGGAGTGATCAGGAGAGGGGGACTGTCCCTTGAAGCTGGGTGACCCATGAGAGGGTGCCAGGCCAGGCCAGGCCAGGCCACACCAGGGCCAGGAAATGCAGGGCAGAGGGAACAGCAGGTGCAAAGGCCCCGAGGCACAGGGAGCCGGCCCGAATGGTCTCTCTCTCATTGTTCTCGTTCCCTGCCTCTGGCCTGCTGCCGCAGCGGCAGAGGAGGGCCCGGGCTCTGGCGTCAGGAGCGGCAGGGCTCAGGTTTCGGGTCGTGCTGCTTGGCCGTGGGCACTGGACGGGCCTCTGACCTCTCGGTGCTGCTGCCTCCTCCTTGAGGAACAGTAGGGGTGAAGTGAGCCTTGAGCCGGCCCTCCGACAAGGCCCCATCGCCCCAGTGTTCAGTTCTCAAAATGTCTGGGTTGAAAGTTCTTGCTGAAAAACCCCCCACAACATTCAGGGCTGGCTTTTCCCTGAGTCCTGCGTCCCGTCAGCCCAGGGCTCTCCCAGAGGAGCAGCGGAGGCACCCAGCGGGTGTAGGCAGAGGTGCAGCCAGAGGCCAGCCCCGGCCCCTCAAAACCTGGTCCGGCTCCTCCGGCAGCACCGCGGCCAAGGCCGGCGCCACGCCAGCCTCCGGAATAAACGTCCTATGGCGTTCTTCTGCCCGAGCTGCTTCCTCCCACACGCTGACTCTCCTCAGGGGCACCCTGCAGCCCCCCGGGGATGCCCTGGCCCCTGGGATCGGATCGCGTGGTCTCCGGAGACCCCTTGGCCCCCAGCCTTCCTCTGACTCTGGGACAAAGCTCGCCCTTCCGGTGTCCCCGGCGCAGCCAGGAGTCCTGCCTCTGCTGTCCCCTCTGCCTGGCAGACTCCCGGCACCGACCCACACACGTTTCCCAACTCGGGGGCATCTCCCCGGCCTTCCCAGGCTGGGCCGGGCGCCGCTGCCCACCGCTCCCCGGAGCTTCTGTCGCCAGAGCCCCGTCCTGTGTCTGAGCTGGGAAGACGGAGGGTGAGACGCAGGCGCAGGGGAGCGAAGGAACGCGAGAGAACGGGCGCAGCCCTCGGCTCTCACGGCCCAGGACCGGGAGCAGCGCTCACGCCCTGGGACCTCGGCACACACGGATGCTGGCGCCGCCCGCCCGGAGCCCCCGGAAGGTCCCAGGACGCAGCACCAAAGCAGCGGCTGGCCCAGGGCCCGGCGCGGCCGGTGCCCCTTCCACTGCGGCTCCAAAGCTCCGCCGAGACCCAGGAGCTCTGCCGGGAACTGCCGAGAATTGGGCAGCGACTTTCAGAAGACCCCATCCCCTGCCTGGACGCCCGAGCTCCCGCCCCCGCGTCCCACCCACACTGGGGCGAGTCACCTGTTACTTCACTTCCCCATGTGCTGTGTTTGGACTCAGGCGGCGCCCTTGGAGGAGTTTTTCTGAGCCAGCTCACCCCCCCGCCGGGGCACCCCGGGGCGCCGGACAGCCCTGAGTCCAGCCCTGAACCGCCCGGGGGCGGGGGGGGGCCACTCCAGGGCAAGCTCTGTTTGGGGACCCAAATGACCCAGTGGTGAAAGTGACCCTCCCAGGCCTCCAGAGGCCCAGCAGGAGCAGACAGACTATTCAACAGAGCAGCTTGGGAGCCAGTTGGCAGGAGGGGAAGGGGTGAGCAGCCTCGGGGACCCCAGGGGGGTCCCTACCAAACTGTCAGGCCAGCCAGCAATGGGCCAAAGGCCCAGAAAGGAGACCCCGCAGGGGACTTGGCTTACGCGGCGCATCTTGA